GAGTTGCAAGCCACTGAACGATACATAACAACAACAACAAACTTTCAGTTAACAACTAAGCTCTTAACTACTGTGCCTCTAGGACTTCTTTTGGTTTTAACCAAAACTAACCTGTTTTACTGTTTTCCTTTTATTCACCAGGAATAAACTCTAACCATTCCTTTTTTACTCATAAAACTATAATGAGCCCTTCTTGGTCACTAACATTTTTTCTTTTATAACCATTATAAGCTATCAATCTAAAATTGTTTATTATTTGTTCACTTCTTGTCTCTTCCTTTTAGAATGTAAGTAAATCCACAAAGGCAGAAACATTGTCTGTCTCATTTGTTTTGTATTTTTGTGTTTTTTTTTAATTTCTAGGGCCTAGAATGAGATGGGAACTCTTGTAGCATTGGCTGATTTGATGGCTATACGTTTGAATTTTGTTTTTGAGAGTGAAATGGAATGACACAGTGGCCTGGAATAATGGGTTCAAGCACAGCTGTCATTATGAGAATGGTGTAGGATTTGACAGTGTTTGTTTTAATATACAGCTCACTGGCACATAACAACAAGATTGAGAGTAGGTATTGAATAGAATATTTGTTGAATTAATGAATTTAAAAATTAACTAAATATATCTGGTTTAAAAAGTAAATTTAGATTATTAATTTAAAACAATCATTTATCAAGACATTTAACCTCTCTCATTCTTTTTTCTATACGCTGAGATTGCTGACCGAGCAATTTTTTATCAAAAATACTGATAAAAGATAATAAATAAGTAGTAGATGAAATAGCAAAAGATATAAATAATATATATATACATTGACCTCTGACTAATTGAACTTGTAAATGAAGCTGTCATTTCTCACTGCTTAACTGGTTTTCTTTCATACAAGAAGAGTAGAAGATACTTTTCTATATGAGACTGATCTTGAAATTTACAGACTGTTATCTTTTTCCCCTTTTTATTTATTTTTCTATTAATTTAAATGAAAGTTTACAGAGACTTAGGATTTCCAGTCATTCATTGTTGTACTTTTCTCCCTGCCCACTACCTCCCTAGACTAGATATTTTATTTCAATTTGATTTGGTACTTAATAGTTCTTTAAAGTTTTTTGAATGGAGTGAATGAATAATAGCTAGTTAGTCTAAACTGATTTTTTATGAATTTTTTTTTCATTATATATTTGCCCACTCATTTTTTATACTCAATAATTAACTACTTTTTCTAATTATAAACCTAAGAAGCAGTTCATGAGTGTGTTTGTACATGGCTTTTTATTCTTCACTTAAAATGGATCCTTTTTATTGATAACATTAGTTGGTTGCTAGCAAAAGTATTACAACCAGACTCAGAGAACTGAATTTGTAACAAACTCTGCCCTCATCCAACCAAACCACCATGTTATTTATATCATATATAAATAGAGGGGGAAAGGAGTTCCAGAGTGGTGCAAATGGTTAAGCATTTTACTGATAGCCAAATGTTGGTGGCTTGAGTCCATACAGAAGAACTTTAGAATATAGGCCTGATGATCTACTTCCAAAAGTTCACAGCCTTGAAAATCCTGTGGAGCAGTTCTACTCTGCATATATGAGCTTGCTATCAACTAGACAACTAGCAACAATAAAAGAAAAAGATGTTATATTTTCTTTCTTCCATGTTGACTGTTTTTAGAATCTAGCTCTAGCATCAACAAATTCATTTAGCATAAGATTTTGTGAAATTATCCTAGTTATTAAAAATCTTTTCTTAAACCTTAGTTTTTCTTTGGTTTTCTCTTAGTAATCAAATGTTTTTCTCTCTTTTGAATAAATTTGCATTACTTGTGATTCGTAGTGGCTCTGAGTTCTTAATATTTCACGGCTCAGACCTTCACCTTTAGGGCAGCCTTTTTATATATCTTTGTTTTCCTTTTGTTTTCTGAAATGCCTGTGAAAAGCATCTCTCTTTCCTTTGGCTTTTCCTCTTAATGTGTGTATCCCTCTCCTGTCATTTATTGTGTAGTTGCATAAAATGTTTGACTTTCATCGTGAAGAATAATTCCAGAACCGGAAGAGAGACTAAGTACCATGTCCAAACACATCTCCTTGTCAGATAGTACAGTTACAAATGAATGCGCTGTGACTAAAATTAAAGTAAGTGGCAGCATCATTATTCAGATTTCGCTTTTTGTCTCAGTTTGTTTATAACAGATTTTTAAAGGGAACAACATCAGTTTGATATCTTATAATTAGACTTGGTTTAAATGTCAGGTAGAAGTAACCCCTAACATTTTTTATCAGTAGCACTTGATGAAGCAGACTGAGAATGAAGTAGAAATTTTTCTTAAACATGTTTAGCTAGGTCTTTTGTTTTGTTTTTTCATAGGGAGCTAGAGTATCATTATTAAAATTTTTAAAAAGAAAAATTTTTATAATTCAAGACTTAAATGAAAATGATAGAAGGCAGAGATTGAGAGACTAGTTTAAGAATAGTTGTGCATTTAAGAGAGTCTTCTTTCTTCCCTTGTTATGACCCTTTGGTTAAAATGGCAAAACAAAAGTCAACAAATGAAAAGGAAACAGGAAATAGTTGCATTTTAATATTGAAGAACCATGAAAATACTTTTGTTACATTTTGATGCACCCTCCTGAAGTTTTGTGGCCCTCTCCCTTGTTGTTTAGGTTTATGTTTGTATTGACTGTCAGGGAATTATGATTCTTCTGCTCATTTCCTAATAAGGATTCTATCAAGTAAAATTGTGGAAGCCATGAATTGTGATATGAGTGTGTAAAGTTAAATCCAATTTTTAATTTTATACTTTAAAGGAAATCATTCCAGAATTTATTTCACCCCTTTATTTAATGGTATTCTTACTTTCCTCAATTAGGATCTTTTCCCTCCCTTAACAGATATACAAAACTTAGCCCCAAGTCATAGAACTCAGATAAAGAAAGGTAAGAAAACCTGCTTGGTTCTTGTGTTATTTCTGTTCTAGCCCTTGTAGTTTACTTCCTGGTTGAAATATGTTGGAAAATCTTCTTGAAATAAAAGTCTCATTTCATGATTGTATTAGGTTCCCAGACTAGGAGTGACATTATCTCTAGTATAGCAGTCATTAGGAATTTTGCAGAGATTAACTGCTTACTAAAAATGTACAAATAGTCTTTAAGCCATAATAGTCTTTGTCCTTGCATTTATTTATTTTGTATTTATTTTTTACATTATGATGTTGCTGTGCTAAAAAATCGTCATGTGTTTAAAACAAACAAGCCAAAAAGCTCCCTTGTCCTGAGGCTGTGTGAAGAAGAATGAAGCTCTCATTTTCCCAGTACCCAATCATCAGCTTGAGCTGGGCTCTCCTAGGAACAGAATTTATTGAAACAATTTATCCTGGCTAAATGTGATATAAATCTGTGTACACATATGTACATACAGATTCTTTTCCATTATAGCAATGCTGCAGCATCAGTTTCCTTCATGGTTTCTCTATTCCTATCACACTGAAAGATGACCAAGAAGCTTTTTTTATTTTATAGAGCACCTCACAATTTTGAACACTGATTAGTTGTGGAATTACTGATCAGACAATTGGAGGTACTGGTTTCCCACCCCAGAGTGAGGTTTAAATGAAGAGGTTTAACTTTGCTACCCTCTGAGTTTGGAGCATGATTTTCCAATTACCAGAGTCATTGCTGTACTTTAACATTTTATTTTAATGCAAGCCTGATGAAGGGTTAACTTGATTTTTTGGTTTATCTTCAAGATAAAGTTTTGATACTTTGTAAATAATTTTGAATTAATTTCCAGGCACATTTGAATTGTATTCTTCCTCTCCCATCTTCCCCTTTTCTGTATTCTTTTCTATATCTTTCTTTCTTGTGGAAAAATATTTTACAATGTCCTGTCTATAAAGGCTGTTTTTGGTTTTCTTTCTCTTTTTCTCTTTCATACTTCCAAAATACCATCTATTGTTTGGGAATATTTTTAATATAATTTGCATTTCTTTGTCCACTCCCAGCTCTGTTTTTATTCTTAATTGGAATATGAAACATGAGCAATATCTTTGACAAAGAATGTCAATCAACATTCAAGGGTTTAACTTCTGCAATTAAAAAAAAAAAGACAAACCCAGTATAAACCTTGTTAATTCTTCAACAAAATAGAGGGGTTGTTTGGTGATGCTTTTTAGTATCGTTTCTTTTATCCCCCGCAGCAGCACACATCTGTTGGCTGCAACCTAGCAGCCCAAGATCTCTGGCCGAGAGTAGCACAAACAGCCGGAACATATTCACCCAGTAAACCCCCAAAGAGTCGACATTTGTTTTATTGCTGCTTTTAAAAACCTAGCCATAAATAGAATCAGAAGGGGGAAGGGCACCAATATTTCTCCATTTGCTACAAATGATTGGTGGGGGGAGAAGGAAGCTCCCGGTAGGGAGAGAGGGCTTTTATTTTTATTTTTTTATTAATGAAAATCATTTCCCATGTAGCCCAATAGGATGGGTGCTTTGTTTTGTTTGGCAATAATCTGGGATAAACAATTCTTGCCAACAGCCCTTGTACTTTTTACACCAGGGAGCCAGATTATGGCCCTGTAAAATGGAGCACCCCTCCTATAATCCTTTAATTAATTAAATGACAAATTTTGGTCTTCTCTAGTTTAGAAATATGGCTTCCACATTGAGCGTTCAGTGGATTTATTGACATGGGGATCTGCACAGATTGTAATTCAGCAGACTGGGGAAGTATGTTATATACTGTAGCAGAAAGAGAAAGTCTAGCAAAAAGGTTTAAAATTCCTTGAATATTTAAGCCTAAATTTTTCTAATTAAAAGTTTCAATTGAGGCACAGTAGATCATTTGCCACCTGTCTAATGGGCTTCCCCAAAGTAGCCTATGTTTACAACTTTGATAAATGGCATTCTTGGGACACCTGTTTCTAGGCTTGATATTTTTGAAGCACTCTTTTTTTCCCCCCTCCAGCGTATTTAACATAACTTTTCCCCCTTACCTCCCCCTCTTCAGCTCCGCTCAGCTATATGAAATATGGGAGACGACAGACCGTTTGTGTGCAATGCCCCGGGCTGTGGACAGGTACGTTTACAATATACTTTATTGTGAATGTCTCGTTGTGAATCAAAGTGGCTGTTTTATCACTAAGGCAAAGAGTTTAAAGCCGGTATTTTACGTGATCACTGGAGGTAATCAGATCAGAGGATTTGCAGTGTGTAAATCCAAGTTATGAGGAAGTGTAGGCACTCTACCGTAATGAAATCTGCCTTGTTCTCTTCCATATTGTTATTCTACTGGTGTTTGTTTCCCAGCCCATATTGTTAAGAAGTACATGGTGCTCTTTCCTCCTTTCTAAAATTGTCCATTTAAATACAAAGCAAGTTTGGAATTTTTTTTTCTTTGCACTTCATGAATATAAAGCTATTTGGAAAGAGGCAGCTGACAGTGCACCTTATTCATTGTGAACTCCAATTTACCATTATAGTCTATTGGATCTTTTAAATAATAAAAAGTCATCACTGTTTTTTTATTACAGAAAAATCAATGGTAGCAATTAATGCACATACTTATCTAAGAAAAACTAGAAATCTAACATAGATCTCAGGATCACACAGCATTATATCAACTATAGGATTTGTTAGCCAATTCCCTGATGCTATGAAATGAATTCTCTGTGTCAGCTTCCATGTAAATAAATGTGTGTGTGTGTTGTACATTTTCATAAAATGCTTTTATAATAATTTTTTTTGCAACTGGCCTTCCATTTTTTAACTTTATTTCTTACCTCTTCCTAGACCCTTTTTTACTCCCATGTTCCATATGATGAGACAAGAAATGCAAAGAAGGTCTTATCTATTTTCATTACTTTGTTTTCTAGAATCTGAAGGGTTTATTTTCTGCTAGTTAGGAACATGTCATATGACTGTCCAGTGACACTTACTGGCGGCATATGAGATAGCAGACTCGTTCTGTTAAGCATTATAAATACTTAGACAAAAAGAAGGAGCTAAATTCCAGAAATTCCAAGGAATTGGAATCTGAGAGGTGGATGCCTTGTGGGTGATAAAAAGAATAGGCAAGAAAAAGATTCCTAATTACATTAAAGGCTGAAAATTTGAGAAAGGACTAAAAAAGTAATTCTATAGTAATCAGCATCCCAGAATGTATTTCCTTTCTTGTCAAAAGGTTTTTTTATTATTATTGATTTTCTTTTTTTCCATGTGGTATGTTTTGTGCATATGTATAAAATAATTGAAGCCAGTTAGGAAAACAGGATTAATTTATTTCACATTTCAGAGAGCTTTTCTGGAGCTTATTTGAATCTGATTCCTCCAGATTTTTATTGTGAATTTGACATAACTGTGGTGACATAGTCTGTAGGAAATTGCACTGCTACCTCAAAGGCCATGCCTCTGTGGTGGTTTGAATCTACCAGGAGCTCCAAGGAATAAAGTAGACGATATCTTCCCCTGTGATTTACAGCCTCAAATGCTCCTGGAGGGTCAGCTATGAGAAAAGATCTCTTTTCATACAGCCTAGGAAAGAAACATGATTGGACCATTCTACTCTTCCTATAGAATCACTATGAATTTGAATCAGTTTGGTGACACACAGCAATAGAACTCCAATAACTGACATCTGATGACCTTTCCACTATTCTTCTTTACAAGTTGTCCCCAACTTAACCACATATTTGAGTTACCACATAAGTTAGTTGACAGCTGCACTTACTACTATCTTTATTTGGTTTTTTAATACATCTTATTATTGTTGTTAAGTCCCATCCAGTCAACTATGACTCATAGCAACCCTATGAATGGCTCTGGACTTTACTGTATCCTAAGCCAACCTCACCATCTCTGGCACACATTGCCACAGTCACTGTGTCAGTCCATCTCATTCAGGGTCTTCCTCTCCTGTACTAGCCCTCTACCCTTCCAAGCATTATGTCCTTCTCCAGGAACTGTTCCCTCCTGACAACATTCCCAAAGTATGTGAGATGGAGTTTCAAAATCCTTGCCTCCAAGGAACAACTTGGTTTCATCCTCTCCATGATAGACCTGTTTGTTCTCTTGGCAGTCCATGGTCTATTCAGTATTATTCTCCAGCACCACAAGTCAAAGGCATCAATTCTTCTTCTGTCATTATTATTCATTGTCCAGCTCTCAGATGCATAGCAAGCAGTTGAGAAGATCCTGCCCTGCGTCTGGTGCACTTCAGTCTCTAGATTGACATTATTGCTCCTTAGCACTCTAGAGAGGTCTTCAACAAGAGATTTTCCCAAAGCAACTCACTTTTTTTGATTTCTTGACTGCTGGTGCCAAGAGTATTGATTAGGGATCCAAGCAAGCTGAAATTGTTAACAATATCAATCTTTTCTCCGTCTATCATGATACTAACAATTAGTAAATGTATATATGTATGTATGTATGTATTAAAATATACCTGTACATTTATATTCAGTATTTCCAGTGTCCAAAGATTAATTAAGACTGGATTTATAGAGATACTGATATTAAAAACCAATAGTAATGGAAACAGAGGAGAAAAAAAGAGGTATTTAACCTGTGTGAGAACTAGTTTAAGTCAAGAGTCCTCAGAACAGAACTCCATCATAACTGGGAACTCTCTGTACTTTCAAAATTTGTAGTTTTGGTGGAAAGATTTTTCTCCATTCGCAATTTTTTTTTGTGGGATTTGGGTTTGCTTTTTGGGTTTTTTTTAAAATTTACTATTATTTTTTATTGACTGGCAACATAGTTTGTTACATGATGGGCTGCCTAAACCCAAGAGTTGGTGGTTTGAATCTACCAGCCACTTTACAGGAGAAAGATGAGTTAGTCTTTCCATAAAGATTTACACCTTTGGAAACACGATGGAGGGTTACAATGAGTTGGAATCAGTTCAGAGGTAGTGGATTTGGGTTTGGTGGTGTGTTTTTTTTCCTCAAAGGAATGTTTTCTTTCCCTCCCAAAGGAGCAAATGCAATCAAAGGAAATGAACATGAAAATCTCAAGAGTTTATTGTCTTGCTAAAACAAGATGAAGCTTAGAACTGGGTCACTTGACCCTTTCTCTTATCTCCTTACAGTTTAAATAAATCCAGAGAATATTAGGAAAGGTATTGATTTAATCTTCCTGTATAGGAATCCTGGTGAGGTCGTAGTTAGTTAAGTACTTTGCTGCTAACTCATCAACTGCTCCATGGCTGAAAGATGTGGTATGTTTCTTTTTTAAAGATACGGCCTTAGAAACCCTATGGGAAGTTCTACTTTGTCTTAAAGGGTTGCTATGAATTGAGATTGACTTGATGGCAAGCATTTTGATTTTTTTACATACATAGCCCTGTTTGTTAAGAACTGGGCTGTTAACTGAAAAGTTAGGGTTCAAACCCACCACTACTCTATAAGAGAAAAGATGTGACAGTCTACTTCTATATAAAATGCATCCTTAGAGACCATACAGGCAGTGTCCTATAGGGTAACTGAGTTAGAATTGACATGTAGGGAGTGGATATGCATAATATGTGAATTACGCAAGATTTTCTGTGACTATACCTTCCTTAAATGCTTACATGTTTAAAACATTAAATATTTAAAATCACACAGGCAGGCATTTCTCAAAGAAATGGAAAAATGAGGAGTAAAAATAATGTTGTTGTTAAGTGCCTTCGAGTCGCAGGAGACTCATAGCGACCCTATGAAGGAGAGTCCTCAACGTTTGGGTGCCTTTCATCCTCTCTCCAGGTAAAAATAATAGACAAGGAAAATCTTTTAACTTCTCTGAGAAAGATAGGAATAGGCTCTGAAATCAGACAAGAGATTGAATTTGTGAGAGATTGACTCACTTGAATTCATATGCTCACAGAAAAGATAACTTTTTTTATTGGTTATTTTGTTATTGTAATTTGATGATTTACGAAGTTAATTGGTTTTTCATTCAACTCTTCGAACATTTATTTTTTTATTCAAACACTAACAATTAATTATAATACCCCACAATATAATTGCACTTTCCCATTACTTCCTCTCTGTGATTTTCATTTCCCTTAATCCTTCAGTACTACTCCTCCTGCCTTATTCTGTATTCTATCGTTGGACAAATGCTGCTCTTTTATACAGTTTATGTTTATTCTAAAAAGTGCATATCTCTCTCATGTTATTGGTCATTTTATACACCTATTTGGTTAAAAATTGAGCCACAGAGGTGAGTTTTATTCCAGGGAGGGTGACTGAGGGCAATAGTCAAGAGGTCCCACTAATCTCTTACTAGACAGTAAACATGACCTTTTGTTTTGTTTTGTTTTACATTCCACTGCCCCACCCCCACCCGCACTCCATCCAGGATTACTGCGATTTCTCAGAGTCCTTAGTATTGGTGTACAGGCATCATCAAGTTCTTTTGCAGAATTGTGACTTTGTGGTAACTGTCTCAAGGGCATAGAAAGTTGAATTTCTGTGGTTCATTAGTCCTTTGGACTAACTGTTTTGGAACATTTTTGCTTTTCCTCCTTCATCTTTATTCTGGATAGGGAGAGACCTTAATTCCACCTTAGTTGGCTGCTTATATGCTTTAAGACATCAGTCACTCCTCACCAAAGTAGGATGTAGAACATTGTCCTTGTGGACTGTTATGCCAGTTGATCTTGTTATCCCCAGAAAGAAGACTATTGTCCTAAAGGCCCAGAACCTTAGAACCTACTCATTCCTTCAAGGTTTATGGTTAAGAAGCTTAGAAAATATTGCCCCCTATTGGTTACAGAAGAGGATTTTCTTTTTCGTCTTGTGTGTTTTTTAATTTAGGGGGCAGGGAAATAGGGGGTTTTTACTTGACTTCCTTCCTTCTTGTATTGTTTGGTTCTATTTATCATAAGCCTTTTCTTTCCCTCAATTTTTCATGTTTCTGAATTGTTGTTGATATTTAGTTATTTACCTCTGGCTTAGCTCCTGACTGTTACTTTTTCAGCCTCAGAGGGAAGATGAGTGTGAAACTTATAGAAATTACTATCTTTCTTTTTTGGATTTGAGTTACTTGTTTCATGGAGGTGAAGTGCTACAATGTAAGAAAAATACCATCATTCCT